TTTACATGTTAAAGATAAATAAGAGCTGACAAAGGTTCACAAGTATCTGAACATTTGTGGTATTTTCCCAAGTGACCTACTTATTGAAGGGATGCTGTACTTTGACTTTGAACTGTACTGAAAGAAAGTTGACATTGGCAGCCCACCAAATTAAACAACAAAAGCAAACCTTGATGTTGGCAATGCTTGACTGTTATGTCCCAGCACACAGAGATCTATATGCAAGTAAACATCTTTTTTTTTTTCATTAAGTGACAGATAAAATATTTTACTTTACTGACATGATAATGATTCATGTTGGGAAAAATCTTGGCAGGATTTCTCAAATATTTCTGGTATTTTAAATGTACTGATAATTTCTATTTGAAGTATGAACCACTAGCAGCACTTTTGACCGCTGCAGTATCTTCTGTATTCATATTTATTCTTCATCAAAGCTTAGAGAGTCAACACACCCCAAGCTTTTAACATATTGTTACTAAACAGCTCTGTTTTATGGATCCAGTGGTGGCCATCTAACATTTCTACGTTCATCACAGCTGTAGCACTAAAACTTATAAACAGTTTTAGAGTTTGAAGCGTAATTGTGTAACAAAATGGCCCTTTTATGAACTGTGCTCTTAACTGGTGACAAGTGACAACATGCCTACCATCTTCAGCCACACATCTCATGAACAGCTCCAGGCTCCAGTGCATGCTGGGGGCCACTCAGCTGGAAAGCTTGGCAAGAGAGGAGTGGGGACCCTGGTGGACACCAAGCTGAATGGGAGCCAGCAGGGAGCTCTTGATGTAAAGGTGGCCAGTGGCATCCTGGGCTGTACTGGGCRAAGTACTGACACCATGTCAAGGGAGGTGATCAGTCCTTCTCTGCTCAGCACGGGTATGGCCACATCTGCAGTGCTGTATTCAGTTCTGGGCTCCTCAATACACGAGAGATACAGATAGACTGGAGGGAGCCCAACCAAGGGCCACAGGAATGAAGGGAGTGGAGCATCTCCCATGAGAAAAGCCTGAAAGAGCTGAGACCGTTCAGCTGGGAGAAGGCTCTGAGGGTCCCATCAGTGTCTACACTGAAGGSAARGTGCAAAGARGATGGAGACAGACTCTTCTWAGTGGCGTTCGGTGCCRGGACCAGAGGCAATGGGCACAAACTGAAACACAGGAGGTTCCCTCTGAATATCAGGAAACACTTCTCACRTGAGAGTGACCAAATAACGGGCCCAGGCTCTCCAGAGACACTATGGAGTTTCCCTTGTGAAAATATTTAAAAGCTGTTTGGATAGATCCACATGGCCACACTTGGCCAGGGTGGGGTGGACCAGWTAATTTTCAAAGATCCCTTCTAACTTCAACCATTCTGTGATTCTAAAAAATATGACGCAAATCAACATCTAAACCTCCTCCCAAAACTTTTCCATGGCAAACCAAGGCAAGCRTGGGATCAAGCTTCATATTATCATGTTACAAAACAGTTCCCCATTCAATACACATCAAACTAAGCCCTTCTAAAAGCTTAAGAGTCTCCTATTCTATTAACTGCATTTTTTTTAAAGCTACATCAGTGCTCGATATTTGTACCATGAAAGGAAGGAAAAGAAAAACCCTTGGAAATGGGATGTTACAGACCAGAATACTGATCATAGGAAACTGTCATGAAAGGAAGCTCACACTTGTAACTTAGGAAATGAAAACAGGTAAAGACACATATAYATATWTTCAGATCATATAATCATAGMATGGTTTGGGTTGSAAGGGACCTCAAAGATCATCTAGTTCCAACGYGKCATGAAGCTGAGTCGGGAGGTTTAGGTTGGAAAAGSTTCTTCCCCCAGTGGATGRTYGGACACTGGRACAAGCTCCYCCAGTGAAGTGGTCACAGTGTCAGCYTGACAGAGTTCAAGAAGCATTTGGACAATGCTCTCAGGCACATGGTGTGATTCTTGGAGYATYCTGYGCAGAGCCAGGAGTTTGACTCAATKATCCTGATAGYTCCCTTCCAACTCAGYAGATTCTATAATTTTGTGAAGCCCTGTGCCATGGGAAAGGAAGTCATYMATTGAACTAGATAGCTCAAAACCTSATCCCACCTCTCCTTGAACACCTAAAGGGATGGGGCATCCACAGTTTCTCTGGGCATTCTGTTCCAGTGCCTCATTACCCTGCCAGTAAAGAATTTCTTCTGTACAGCTAGCCTCTCTCCCCTCTGTCAGTTTGATCCTATGATGTTCAGTGATAAATTAACAGGAAGTACTGCTTTTTGATAGACAGATGAGCAATTTGCTATCCAGGATCTCATGAAATGTAGATGCCATAATCATATTCAAGGTGATTTCAAAATGTGCTCTTAGATATAAACCAGTGCTATAAATCTTAGAGGAATGCCAATCATTTGCYCATCAGACAGAATTATAGTGCACAGACGGATGGATGGCAACATAATTGAGGCCTACCAATGGCTCATTAAAACATCATGCAAAGTAATCACTTTGCAAAGYAGTACCTGAGTAAAAGTTAAAATACAAATTATTACAAAAAGCAGGAGTGAAAACCACTCAGATATAGGCAGAAGGGTTGTAGTGACTTTGTATGGCTGCAGGTCTGGTGTCCTCAAATGCTATTGAACATAGGAGATCCAGAACTCACAAAGGAAGGGGACAGAATTATAAAAAGCATGGAATGGCATCTCTGTGAGGGGAGATTAAATAGATTAGGACTCTTCAGYCTGGAAAAGAGACTGGAGAAGAAAATATGGCAGTGAACTGTCAAGAATGGCTTAGGGAAAGTAAATGCAATAATTATTTTCATATTACAAAACTAGAGGTTATGAGTATCTGGTAGCAGGCCGAAAAGGCACTTTTTTTGAACAGTGCATAGTTTAAGTATGGGACTCACTGCCAAAGGACGGTCTGTAAGGCAAATATAAACCCATTCCATGAGGAAATGGAAGCCCCTCAAGACTGAGCAACCCCAAAACTAAAGTCAGCTGGCATCTGTGTGGAGGGGTTGTATATTGAAACAGTATTTCTGTATATTTAACTGGTTGTTGCCTTTTATTAAGAGGGCAAATTTAGCTGGTTGTTGCATTTTATTAAAATTGCAAATTTAGCCAGAGTATAACTTCTGTTTAGATAGACCTAGTAGAGTAGCTATTCTAACAAGAATTCAAGCAAAAACCCCAAACAAACCAAAAAACCCAACCAAACCAAAAAACACCAACCAAGCAAAAAAAACCTCACAAACAAACTGAAAATATCCCTTAAAGAGTTCAGGATCAGTTTGTAATTAAGAAAATTAAAAATTGAAGAAGCTGGGTATTGCACTTCATCTGGCCTTGTTCTGAACCAACAGAAACAACATGAATTGAATCCATGATTTCTAAAACAGAAGCTGAATATGAAGCTTACGGTAAACAAGCATTTGGTGTCTGCAATATCCACATCATGAAGTAATTTTGCTTTGATGGATGGATGGATGGATGTCTAGAATTTAACCAAACATTTGCATTAAAGCAAATCCTTCCATTCTTACCAAAGAGAAGCAAAATGTAGATTAAAAAAGAATTATTTTCTGCTACAGTGAAGTATCTCCTATGATTTTGAATATTCACTGATCACCACTGGTTACTCACATGCTACATATGATTTTTGGAGAACATTAGAAAAAGCTCTCTAGACATGTAACAAACCTGCTCCTGAAGAAAGAATTTTAATGCAAGGAGCAGCAAGCAGTAGAAACAAAGAATTTTCCACTGGGAAGAATGTGAAATAAACTTGTATCATGTCCTTAATGTCTCTTCAATGTCTATGCAGGATTTACTGCAAGTCAGGTCCTGAGATGCGATGACAAAGTAGAAGGAAAGAACACTCTTAACCCAATACACTTTTTGAAGATATGTTAGTTACATATTTTCTTAAACGAAGTTTGGAATTGTTCAGAACAAAGTAGAATATGCACAAAGGCTCGACACAAATAYTGTAATTAGTGAGTCAGTTCCTTAAATCAATAACCTGCACTCACAGATTGCCTACAGAGAACCCTTTTCTAAAATAAATTTGACAGATGAGCAAATTCTAAAATAAATTTTCAAACTCACATGGCTCATTTTTTTAAATGAAAGTTTGGAAGAGTATCCAAAATACACATAAATTTGACAATTGAAAATGGATGCTTTCCCCACTGGAAATTCTTCATCGTAGATAAACTAATTAATGACATATGTCTGAAGATGACTGACATTTCTGAGAAGCTTCAGATGATTGCATTTCTCTTGTATAGAAAAAAATCAAATTACTTTGTCGTACATTGATTGCATTTCTCTTGTATAGAAAAAAATCAAATTATTTTGTCATACATTCTCCATAAAAAAACCAAAAACCAAACAAAACAAAAACAAAACCCAACAAGTTCTGTTACAGGAAACCAGCACCTAGAAACTTTACTACTTAAATCAGCCATATATATAGGTAGGATTTTTTAGTTCTGGGGCAGAAATACTGGGAGCATGAAAGGTAGGYTAAGTTGTGGGTGTCAGGTTAGTGGAAGTTCAATCTCCAAGCGTTCAAGCTGTTCAGCGGTCAAGCTCTGCTGAGCTCTTCACACCCAGCCTTGTTTGCCGTCTCCGCTGATTAATTATAGCTCAAAGCCCGCAGTGCCCCATCCAAAGCCGGGCTCCCCTGCTCTGCCGAGGGCAGCAGGTGCCGGCACCGCCTTGTGGGGTCACCACACCTGGGAACGCTGCAAAGCCGAGGAGCAACACTGAAGATGACAATGTCACGGTTCAAGGAGTGTCTGGACAGTGCTATCAGCCACACARTTTAATTTGAGGTGGTCCTACATGGAGCAGGGCACTGTAGAACCTTACGGGCTGCTCACACACTCTATGATTCCATTGGCAGGTACCGATGCGTACCCGGGAGGGCTGAGGAAAGCGCAGGACACGCTCCAGGAGCCGGCACCGCCTCCCTCAGCCCCGCACAGGWCCCGCCTGCCCGCCGCTCCCTATGGCTCGCTCCCGCCGGGCGCATGCGCCGCGCCGGCCGGCTCCACATCGGCGGAAGGGCGAGCGGAGCCCGGCGGGGCGATGGCCGGCGCGGACAGGGAGGAGCTGGGTGAGGCGACCCGAGCCGGGCAGCCCGGCGGCGGCGGGGGCGGCCGAGGGGCGACGGGATAGYGGCTGGCCGCGGGGCGGAGAGGAAGGGGCATGAGCGCCGGGCCTGGCCGTCCGGCCCACACCCCCCTCTGCTCCAGTAGATATGGTTCGGCCCACGCGGGATGCGCTGCGGTGCTTAGCGCACCGAGGCGGGCGGGATGAACCATCCCACCTGGGGCAGGGGTGGGCGCTGTGTTGTGTTGTCTCCGCCGCGGGGCCGCGAAGGCGGTGGCGGGGGTGAGGGCACAACTCCCGAAGCCGGATCGGCGGCACCGGGGCCGGGCGGGGTGAGGGCAGCGCAGTCGTGGGCTCTGCAGGGCGGCGGGGGCTGTTCCACGGGGGCGTCAGTCGCACCTGGGGGCGTTCGATTTCTTGGTAAAATCACAGCCTCCGTAGAAGTTCATGGAAATACGTTCTCTTTTCGCATCGTTAGGTGATGCTTTTATCTGCGGTGGAAGACTGGGCTGGGGTTTTCCGGGGCGTGTGTGTGTCTGTGTGTTAGTTGTATCGTATTTATTTATTTATTGTGTTTGCAGTTTGTTCGTCTTCCCACCTTTAAGATCTGAGTGGCGAAGGGCCCACAGGTGTTCATCTGTTAGTTTTTCTGCCCGTGATGGACGAGTTAGCACTTAGCAGGTTTAGTTGTGAAGTGTAGTTGGGGATGGGCTGGGCACATGGAAAATTTCATCTCAAAGCTGTATTCACAAAATCACTGGATGGGACAGGTTGGAGAGGACCACAGTGGCTCAACCTCCCTGCTCAAGCRGGGCCATCCTAGAGCACATGGCAGAGGATTKTGTTCAGATGGTTCTTGAGTATTTCCAGTAAGAGGGTCTCCCCTGGGCCATCTGTTCCAGTGCTCAGTCACCTGCACAGTAAAGAAGGCCCTCCTTGTGTTCAGGTGGAACTTCATGTGCATCAGTTTCTGCCTGTTGCMTTGTGTCCCAAGTGGTTGGCACCACTGAGCAGGGCCTGACTCCATCCTCTTAGCACCCCACTTTAGATATTTATATACATTTTGARGTTCCTGCTCAGKTGTCTCTTCTTGAGGCTGAACAGGCCTGGCTGCCTCAGCCTTTCCTCATAATATGAGAGGTKCTCCATTCTCGCAGTCATCCTCATTCCTCCCTGCTGGAAACAGGAGTACACTTCCACTGTAATCTGCAGAATTTGTCCTGTCCAGTGGTAGTGATGGAAATTGGAAGACATGCTTCAAGTTTTGTTGTCCCCAAGGCTGATCCATCTTACACTGAGAGATTGTCACTTCAGAGAAAAGATAGCTGAAAGAAATTTTCACTTTTTTTTCCCTGGAGTTCACAGATCTGACAGTTTCCCTATCAGAACCCTTAGAAAAAGGATTTTTTGTGGGATTAGCTGTTTAAAAATGCAGTTCAATGCCTGATAAGAATTCCAAAGTCTTTTGCGTGTTTCAATACTGTTGAATGCTTAATAAAACTGAAGTCTTGCCAATGCATCATCACTTGAGAGTGTGTTAATTGTAGAAATATGTGGCTTGGTCTAGACAGGATAGTAGATTATTTAAGACTAGTATCTTGCCGGTAAATGATCCATTTTGGGCTGGGATAAAATTGCTCCTCTGAAAGTGTGCAATAGCTGTGCTGACCTGTGTGTGCTTTGGTTTAATAATTCAAGTGTYCCATTTTATGAGCCTTCTGGATCCGACAGTTAACGAGCAAACAGTTCCTTCTGCTTATTGAGGGRCATTACTGACTTTCAACATTTGCTTACAAATAACCATTCTCAAGATTAATAAATTCTGCCACAAAGYTGAATAAATCTACTTTATTAAGTGACAGTCTTTAATGGAGAGAAATAAATGATGCAAGATTTATTTTCCAAAGAGAAATGAAAAGGCATTCAAATAACTGTAAAAAGCATAGCTTGGAGTTCTTGACAAACACAACAAAAACTACTGCTAACTTTTGCTGTTTTGGAAAATGTAATTATTGTATTTAATAGGAGTTTCTAAACCAGSTGAGATTTTCCTTTTTAATTTTCAAACTGAAAAATACATTTTAGTTTTATGTCTCTTATATTCAATAGGAGTAGCTGTAGTAGAAAATAAAAAGAGAACTGGCCTGTGTATGGTTTAATGGGGTTATCTGTTATTTCCCCCTTGAGCTAGGAACATTTACAAAGGTTTATCCATCGCATGCCTCTAGCAGTACCATTCATAGTCACTTTGTCTTGTTCGTAATTTCTTTGGCGGTGGTGGAAGCATGTGACTGAGTAACGTGGACAAAGCTGTACTGTGCAGTTAGATGTCTTCAGGAGAAACGCTGGGAAGGTTATTTCTAGGCTAAAATACCTRAATACCTAATCAGGTATTTTCTTCTGTGGTTGAGGGAGTAACTGAGCAGCACTGTGAAAATAATTAGTGACAATGTTTTCTTTGTAATTAAATTTATCTTGGGAGCCCTGGTTCTGAATGCTGAATTGAAAAGCTTCACCGCAGCATGGAGGCAATACACTGATCATCTGTGAACTGAATGCAGTTGCTGGGAACACTGAGCCTYTACTGTTGTCATGCATGTGGTCGCTGCCAGATTTAAGTGTTTCTTCTGTGTTAACACTACAGTGAAGACACCTTTACTRTGTGTCTGCTCTTCCTGGACTCAGTCACTAACTTTGTCCCCTAAGAGCAGCCAGCCCTGGTTGGTGACAAGCTCTGGGTATGCCCTCTGGATCATGAATATGGCTTTCAATAGCCTGTCGGCAAATATTAGCATAAACCCATGTTCTGTGCTAGTGTAAAGATGATGTGGTGCTGACTTYCTCTTTTATGCAGCAATCAAAACAACTGCTTGCTAAATGGAATCTTTATCCCAATTACAGAGGCACTGGGTCACCCTCTGTTTAATAAACACATTTCACTGAACTGTTAATCTTGGGTAGTGTTTCTGGCCCTRTGGGCATTTTCTTGTGTACAAACTGACTGAGCAGTGAAATACTCTCAAGACCTCCTTTACCTACTGCTTTTTGCTGAGCACTTAATATACACATGTAGTATTGCTCCAACAAGACCTGTGTGTTCCTTCTCCCATAGATGAGTAAAACCAGCTGATGTAAACAAAGGTAGGCTATATCCTATCCCCCGCATCTTTGTATGCTTGTATGTGGAATCCAGTTCATTCTATTTGCTGACGTTGACTTCAAAAACGTGAAGGGGAAAAAAAAGCCCCAAGAAAATAAAAACCAGATCATATTGTTAAATTGGATCTGGAAAAGGGTTTTAGACATGAGTTTGTTTGGGGCATGACTTTCTCCAAAGGAACAATAGAAGATCGTACTTGGCTTTTTAAAAAAATATCTCCTTAGTCTTTAACATGGTACGCAGCCCAGGCAAACTGCTTCATCCTTTTGTCACTTTTTTTTCAATAAAATGAGAAGGATGGAGATCAGTTCTATCCCTTGTGGTGCTGAGTGGTTCAGTTAAATTTGGAAGTGTTAATTGCTTGAGCAGCATAGAAAAATTAACTGAAGCTTTTGGTAAAAATTCGTTTCTTTGTAGAACTTTTGAACCAAAGGATTTCTTTAGTGTGCTTTAAAAGCTTTAGAATTAGATGAATTTAGTAACAGTTTAAAAGTTTCTTTGGCAGTATGTTTATGTCCAGTATGGACATTGGCAAGATGTTGGCAAATTCTAGGTGATAGAAAAATACACGTGAAGATACAAATTTGGAAATACTAGTCATAACAATTTTAACACTATGGATATAATCTCACTGTGTAGCTGGGGGCTGATCAATGATTGAAATTTACAGGGGCCTTTGAGGATACAGTGTTGACATTTATGGATGATTATAGTGTGGTGGGTGGCTGTAATGGATCAGTGATTTATCTCTCCAGTGGCTTAAGGAATTAGTTTCAACATTGCAATGATAATGCTGGGAGAAGTAGAAATGCACTCTGTGTTGCCTTGGYTGATAGTAGTCCTTGCAGGGCTTTTTGATACCCTGCTTACATGGGTGCTCACAGAATAAAACAGAAACAATGTCAATTTTAATGAACTGTTAAAGACATTCAGAAGAAGCATTTGATCTGAAAAGATTTTTGTGGTGGAAGAGGGAGGAAAGAAATTCATACTGAGTGATGGAAAGAGGGCTGAATATTGGCTGGTGCTTTGCCTAAGTGGAAACAAAAGTGTATATGGAAGTGAGTTTCCTTATTCTTAATTGTGCTGAATAATAATAATGTAAAATTTTCACTGAGTCTTGTGGCTGAGCACTAGGTTGGATTATTCGTAATGTGTTTGGAAGCAGCCAGGACAGTTTGGTGGAGCATRGATCTAATGCTGGCTGAGCTGTGCTCTGCACATGTTCTCTGCTGTGAGAGCAGCCAGATAACTTTATCTCTGATTCAGGTATGACATACATATGCTGTTCTTGTGTTGCGTTTGAGATTGTTGGAGATTGAGATTTGAGATTTAAATTGCACATACTTTGTAGGACCTTTGTAGGAAGGATGTAAATGTGGATATCCTATGCCAATATTCTGGCAATGACTGCGGACTTTCCAGAATAATTAATTTCAAGCTAGGTCTGAGTGTGCAAAGCTCAAGTACTTCTGCCTCATGTTCTCTAGACTAAAAGTTTGTACTCATTAAATTGGGATGTTACACAAGCCTAGATGTCACTGTAGGTATGGATTGTGCAGTGGGACACACCCACAGAATTCCAGCAGCAGAGATCTATTATGAAATGAAACCCCATACTTAGGAAGTCACGYGATCCAAACCTTCTGTTAATGTTTCAGTACCATTACTGTTAATGGGCTCACATATTTAAGCCAAAACTGTACACCAGTCATGAGATGAAGCTGGAATGATAAGGAAAAGAGGCAATTCAAGAGCATCTTTATGGATAGAATAGAGATCAGATATCGTTGTTAGAATATTTTATGTAATGCAGTATTTCAGAGGAATCTGTAGTAAATATAGTTATGATATAGTTACGACAATGTGAGTTGGTGCTGACTGCTGTTGCCTGTGTTTTAAAACTTCTAATGGAATTCATTTTCAAATRTGTTATTACATTAGCATGGGAACAGCAAACTCCTAGCCTTAGTGTGCATGCTGGAAATGGATATTATTAGGTCTAAKTTAAGCAATTTCTGAGAATTGTGGGTGTAGGGGACAGTGGAATAGTGATAACCATACCTTAGATGACAAGATGGTTTTAAGCACGGGCAGATGACCTTTCAGAAGAAAAACAATTTGTGTTAGAAAAAATATTATTACTTGAAAGATGAGGGGAGTGCTTGAGTATGTCTAAATCTATTCTTAAAGGTTATTTTTGTGATCAGAAGATGGGTCAGATACTTGGGAGAGAAAGTAAAATGGGATGTCTAAAACGTTCAGTCTTCTGAGTGTTCATCTGGCTGCATGGTGAACAGTGTGGCTGTGTGTATATGTCAAATGTTCCAGTCTCAGGTTGCAATGGAAGAAGAAAATTTTATTTTTGTCCCTTRACTGAGTAGTTGCTGATAGTCACCAAAACCGTTGGTCCTAAGAGTCATGCTGGTCCCCTGCTACTGTAGAATAAGAACTTACTTGTTGCATATTGTCGTTAATGTTTAGCATTAYAAAGAGTGTCCTACAAAATGTGATGGAGACAAAACTGGAAAAATCATTATTATTTCTTTTATATGTTGTTGAATCTCATGTGATAACAGACTTTGCATGCATGTAATTTGGCTTGTTCCTTCAGATTGYTAGTGTAGAATCAATATTTTAAAGAAAATCAGCCTAATCAATTGGCCACTGGGTCAAAGTGCCAGCTCTCTCTCTTATCCCCAGGAGAYAAACTTTTACTCCAGAGCTAGAGTATGCAGGTCTTGGTGAGCATCAAGTGAGCCCAGCAGGGACTCAGAGCTGAGGGGGAGGATGGTCGTGGCATCCTCAAGAACAGTGCTGTGGGAGCAGAGGGAAGGTATTGTGCCGATCCTTCTTTTGTTCAGTTCATAGACTATGTGCCATGTGGAGAAATGTGATGAAGTCTGTCTTGACTTGTATAATTAGGGTATGACTGAGTATAAATTTTGCTTTACAGTGTACTTTCTGACCTCTGATTTTTGCTCTTGACTGGGCATCTTTGCTTCCATCAGGTGCTTTCATTACTGACTTTCAACTTTTCAGATGTGAAATTTTGATGATCCTTTGGTCTTTTCATGAGAGTTTGAGCTATATGATTTAATTTTAATGACTTGAATAAGCTGTCTTCTGCTTTGTAGGATTTTTACACTTGTTCTACAGTTTTTCTTCAAAAGTTCTTACTTAGCRTTGGCTTCAGTGCTCTCCTGGTGGGCTAGACCTCTCCAAGGTTTCATAAAAATCTTAATGATTTGTTTAATGGCTGTGGTGGGTTGACCCTGGCTGGATTCTGTGTGCCCATGAAAGCTACTCTATCACTCCCCTCCTCTGCTGAAGGAAATACAACAAAGTGCTTGAGGATTGAAATAAGAACAGGGAGAGATCACTCACCATTTACAGTCATGGCAAAAGAGACTTGGGTAAATTAAGTGCRTGGAGGAAGCTTCCAGCAGCATCTCACAAAATCCACTCTTGTAGTCCCATCACTACCAAAACCTTACCATGCAATGATTGCTTTGTTACGCAAATGTAAATGTGGTATGGTTTGTTTTTTGTTTTTTGGGTTTTTTTTTTAATACAAAATGTTAACATCATATGGGTTTCTCTTTTTTTGGTGAAAGTTAAGGACGTTGAGACTTATTYGATGTATTTTGTAAATGGATACTGTGGTAGGCAATTGTAGGGTAAATAATCTTTTTGCTCTTGGCAGGATTTGCTTTGCTTAACTGTAGCAATTTTAAATGGTTATAATTTCCTCAACATTAAACTGGCATAAGCTGTTAGTTTTGCCTGAAAGGCAATTTTGCTCACTACTGACTGCTTGCTGTTACTTCGTGCTGTTATTTAGCTGGAATTTTATGCCAGTTTAAAAGGTTCRTGAAATTGCAGTTTTCAAAGCGTGATTCCTGTATTTTTGGTTCTTTCTCCAGTGAATGGAGACATTTCCTGTGGTATCTTTCTTACCTATCTATTTTAGGATAGGATGACTCTGGGCTGTGCCCTTGCTCATCACTGCTGAGTGCAGACTAAGTGTTTAATTCTGCGGTAGCCATCAGTGGTTACCGTGAATATACCTACAATATCCTGTTGTAATGATGGATGACTTCTCTGTGTTGCTCTGTGTTGCATTAGACATCAACATTTTCACGATACAAAGTTGTTTTTCTTAATGAAAATCGATAGTGTTTGGCCATAATAATAATAATAATAATAATAATAATAATAATAATTGATAGTGAAGTATAGTAATAGTAATAATAATAGTAATAATAATAGTAATAATAATAGTAATAATAATAGTAATAATAATAGTAATAATGATGAAATGATGTGCCACTTGAAAGAGAGAGAATATCCTAGGCAAACTTGCTCTCTATGTATCTACTTAAATGATCTTTATAGTTAGGAACACATGTAAACCTTGTGGCATGGGAAGTTRGAATCATATTTTACTTCTGAGCTGTAAGCTTGTTTCTACTGCTGATTCAGCTTTAACTCTGTTGTACAGGCATGGAAGTAATGAAGCCTTTAATTGATGAAGAAGAATCAGATGGCATCTCAGATGAAGAGCATGAAAATACTTTCCTGCCAGTTAAGACACATTACCAGCTWGCTAATGAAGAGGGCATTACGTATGTATTAAGATTAAGTATCAGCTTGTTCAAATTTCATGCCTCTGACTTGTTTCTTATAAGCAGTTTACTCAACTGTGAAGGGGTTTTCTTGCACCTGCAGGACTGTTTTGTGGTTATATGTAAGGACTTTGCATAGTTCTCCCAAAAAGCAGCCCATTTTGAGTAGGTTCTCTGTTTTTTTGAAGCTAACAATGTGCTGACTATAAAATATTCCAAGGTTCCTATTTGTACAGCRTTTGGGCTACTCAAAGTCTAGGCACTGTTTAAAGAAGATTTTGAGAAGACTCTGGAGATAATCTGTTTTGAAATTTTAATTAGAAATGCTTGTAAAGGTTTTGGATTTTTTTTCTTTGTATAAAGCTTAGGGTGACAGACCTGTGATTTGCARTGATGATTGTTTCAAATGTTATTGATTCTCAAATAACATGGATAAAATTTGGTAATTTTGATTCTGAGGCAAAAGAATGATGAAATTTCTGAGAAATTAACATTTCACAAGCTGTAATAAAGAACTGAAAATCAGACTTGTGTGTTCTGTTTGGAGGTTCTCACATGTATAGAAACATTATTTGAATGTGCTGCACTTTCTTTGAAATAGCTGGACCACTGTAAATTGTAAGTTGAAACTTGGAATTTATCACTTTCTTTATAGACAGAGGGTGTGGTTTTCTTTTTGCCCTCTGCCCCATCTTAGTGTACTTCTAATGTTGACGTTTTATCCTCAGGTTTATACAAACGCTTACTCACCTCCTCAAGGGAAACATCGGAACTGGACTTCTTGGTCTTCCGCTTGCAATAAAGAATGCTGGCATTGTGGTAAGAATTCTTTTCTCATCCACTAGAAAAATGATCCACAAAGATTTACAGATATACATCCTGAAAAACTAAAATGTCAATATTTCTTAATTGTCTGCCATTTTAATGAAATTCTGTTTTTTCTTCTCTTTAGTTTGGTGGAATCACTACCGATGATTAAGGTTTTTATTGTTTTAAAGAAAATTGCTACTTCACCCTGAAGATTTCATTGCATGAGTTGCATTTTTGTTTAGCCAAAGTGTTTTCCTGGTCCAAACAAAAACTTTGTCAAAAAAAGAAATACTTTGATTTGCTCAGGCTGCTATGAGGTCTCATGGGAATTGTTACTATGGGTTTGTCTTATCTTTGTACAGACTTATCTAGAGACAGATTGTATGTTTTAGGATGAAATATCAGCTTGTTGAATCAATCGAGTGTTTCTGCAAAAACAGGGTATAGCTCAGGTTGTTTATAGGTGGTAGGGTAAATTTAATCAAATACAATTTTCACCTTACGACTAAATAATCCTGTAATTCCATAGTACAGGTTATTCAGTTTGAGAGTGAAAGTTACCAGTGTGTAAGGCAAAATCATTCTGTCAAAACTTCTGTCAAGCTTACTCTTTGAAACAAATGATTTAATTTGGTCATTATCTATAACTGGTAACTTTTACTGTCAGTGCTACTTTAAAGTGGTTCAAACCACTGAATTGTGCAGTCTATGCAGTCTTCTCTCTTGACAAACTTTTTTGGCAAATGAAGCAGAGGACTGAAGTTGTTTGTGCCCATTTTGTGCTTATGATTTGATTACCCTTTAACAGTCTTAAGTAGTGAATTGAAACTAAGGGATGCCATCAAACATCAGCAGCAACACCCCACTGAGAGAAGAAATCCAGCTGCACAAAATTTTTAGTTATTACTGTATTTGCYACAGTGTGAAATCTTTGCATATAATGATCTTTCCCCATCATATTTTCATGAAAAATTTTATATCTCCTGTGTTGTCCTTTTTTTTTTTTTCCATACCAGGTTGGACCAATCAGCCTTGTGTTCATAGGAGTTATATCTGTTCACTGTATGCACATCTTGGTACGTTGCAGCCACAGTCTATGTCAGAGGTAAATGTGGAACTACTCAGTTGCTGAGTTTGAGTATTATTATTTTTTTRATTCCTCTGCTCTGTATATGGTTTTTGCTCTGAAAATTATTTTGGTGCCRTAGCAGTTTCTTCTGTCAGTTTAAAATCTTCTACTTGTTAGAGGCAACACTCAAACTCATAGTGTGCACCTAGTAAAGGTAGCTACGCTTCATGCAACACATTGAAAAAACGTATTTGTTCTCTGCTCATGCACACAAAAAGAAGTTTAATTTGTTTAATTTGTGTTGCCCGCTACCATCTTCCCTGCTGGCAGATAATAATGTCTTTCTCATTGCAGTTTTAATTGCTTATTTTCAGTCCATTAGTCCTTCTTTATATTCCTAGAGCTTCTAAGTCTTCATAGCTTTGAAAAATGTATAATTTATAAATACTTAGTTTATAAGTACTTTATAGGAATAAAAGATAAACTAAGAAATACTGTTAATGTCTTTCATGATTACATGTGAGCTCTGTCTCTTTGAATTGTGGCARCTAGAGTCTTTGAAATTGTAGTACTAAAGGAATGTGTTAAAATGATGCTAGTGAGCAGATAAACACCAAATACTCCTCCAAGTGAGGTGTTCGATACTGGGGGGGGAAGCAGTTACTCAGATTTGACTGATAGAGTATTTTGATTTATAGTGGCATTCATGAAACATTTTTATCTTACTGTCAGGTGTTAAAGAGAMGCAGTGGGAGGGTCTCATGTTTCAAAGGGTAATGAACTTTTGAACTGAGTAGAACTGCAAAACTGTTCATGTCCCTGTAGCTGGAAAATCTGTTTTACCTGATAATTATGATATTGTAATGTGAATAGACCCTGTCATTTCTGAATTTTTCCTCTGTAGTTTTGAATGGTCTTTGMAGTTGATGAAATAAGATCATTGAATCCATCATCCATCCTTATTCAATATTCTCTTATGCAGAAAGAGTTGTTGAATCCTGTTTAAGCCTTTTAGATTTGAGATTAATTTCTTAAACTCATATAAGATCATGATCTTTGAGTAATTTATCAAAAATCCCTTGTTTTCTAAGAAACTCATTTAGTAYTGTGGTATTGTGGGGTAGCAACACTGTTTCGCATGCTTGTAGAGTGCTGAGTAGCCTTTCTCAGGTTAAAGAAGCCCAACCATACCTCTGAAATACAACAGCAGCAGAGTGTTGCCACGGGTGATGACTTCTTGTAATCATGGAAGACCAACAGCTTTTTCAAAGTAGGGTTCTAGGTTCTTATAGTTTCTGGTAACTTTGTTCTCTCTTCACTTTTTGATTGCAGGATGAAAAAGTCCTCACTGGGATATAGTGATACAGTTAGCTGTGCAATGGAAGTGGGGCCCCTGACTGCTCTTCAGAAACGAGCTGCTTGGGGCCGGTAAGCTTGAATTAGAATTCAATTGAGTAAATTCATTTTTAAAACTTAGTGGCTGCACTTGGAATGATTAAGAGATTTCCATTTTACTTAAAATGTTACCTTCCTTAAAAATGTTTTTATGCAGTRTTATTTGTTATTTCCTGCTACCAACTAATAGTTGTGAGATGGGAGGATTTCTGACTTATTAGGCATTTCAGTTTTCAGTTCTACAAGACCTCTGAAGAAATAGAGTTCTGTTTGGTAATATAGGAAGAGATGTGTTATAACCAGAAATGCATTCTGATTGTCTAATGTAATGAAGTAGTTCAAGTTTTCATTCTCTTTTTCCCAACATTTCTCTGCATTGTAGGTTGACACTGCAAATGTTAATTAATGTATGTATTCTGAGAGGCAACAAAGCAATTATTTGATTCCTGTTTAAATATAACATACAAATAATGGAGAAATATTTAGTATTTTTGCAATAATGATAGGAGGGTATAAACTGCTTGTTGTGTCTTAAATATTTTACCCCTCTTTTACCAAAAACACATTATTTTTTCTTTGCCATTTCTTGCTGTTTGTTGCTGTTTGTAGAGTTTATGGTATGACTGCACAGTAGTGAAATTGTGAATCCTGAAAGAGACATGTTGCTCAGCATTAATTTAGAGTGGTTTTTACCTCACTTGTGGAAGAATTTTTTATATTCCTGTTATTTTCAAGGATGCAGCATCTTGCTAGTGTTTTAAGATCTTTTGTGATGACTTCATAGTGATGGAGTAGAGCTCAATTAGAGGGAAAATTGGTTTGTTCTGATACATAATGAAAATTCTCTGTTGCACCAAAGAGTTACAAGCCTCAAATGGCAATTTGGGTCTCCAGAGACTCTGTGCTGCTGTAAATCCATTCTCTGGGGCAGATCTCTGCTCTGTGCTTGACTCTAACAGAGTTCCATTACAGTATGTCCTCAGGCCACCATTGTATATCACTTTTTTCAAAACAGTCTGAACCACAGTGTTCTTTCAGTGAACATCACCCTGTTTTGTCATGGGAGGAACATGCATTGCAGTGCTTGACTCTAGCATTTTGACTACTCTAAAAAGTAGCATATTAGGTAGCAATGAGTTAATGATTTGGATCTTAAGTATCWTGTATGTTTTCTCTTCCTCAGGTATATTGTGGACTTTTTCCTAGTGATAACACAGCTGGGATTTTGTGGTGTTTATGTTGTGTTCTTGGCTGAAAATGTGAAACAAGTGAGTAATGTTGCCATATGGAAGCAGTTACGGGTTTAGATTCATTTTTCCTTACTTTTATTTCCTATAAAGCTTTTGGTAAAAAGGGGCAATGGGCAAGGTGAACTAAATTTAGATCTTGTGAAATTGTGTATTTCCTTCTGACTTGTTTGTTGAGTTTAAAAATTCATTATGGAAATGATGGAAAGTAAGGCATAAACTGGTCTAGAAACCAGTTGTCCCAGATTTTTTTTTTTTTTTGCTAGGCTTTCTGCTGACTTCCTTTTTTTTTTCTGCCCAACCTCCTGGGCATATTTTCTCCTCCTCATGTAACTGGAATTTTTTTTTTGGTTCCTGTTTAGTCCCTTCTATTCACAGAATCCACTGTATCTAAATGAATCCTGATTTTTCTCCCAAAAAAATGCCTGACATTGAAATTTCCACAGCTTCCTCAGCAGACAGTTCCAATGCTTTCTTTATCTGTTAGACAGCTGCTTCTTTGTAGAAGCTTCAAATTTCTTATTGATATTGTAAGTTATTTATTTAATGTTCTAGCTATAAGTAATTTATTCTTTTCTATTTGTGGATACCTTTTATACTTTCGAATATTTTTATCCTGTCTCCCCTCTATCTTATAGAGGGGACACAGGATATAATCTTAAAATTGTTTTTGCTTTCCTGTGAATGCTTTGCATTTGGTCACATCTCTTTCTTTCAAGTTTAATCCCTGAAGTTGTCTAAGTCAACTGAATATTGCAGATGAATCACCACAACCACAAATGCCTTTACACATCGCAAGCAGCCCCAAAACTTTCARTAAAACCCACCTACMYCTTTTTTTCCCTACAATCATCCATCACTGACGAGAGCAAACAAAACCATSCCTTTCACTTTTATGACAGCCTCTCCTGCGTTCATTCACCTGCTTTGTCTCTTGCTCTCCAGTCCTTCCAAGCTCTTTCTTCTAGAGGGTTTCTGTTGATGGGGCTCCTGATGTGTGTTGGTCCTGCCTTTGGGCACACTTGGCAGTTGCAGTCAGCAGTTTGTGTGTCTGAGCAGGTGATCCACAGAGGGTCAGCCAGCACAGGGTGGATGCTCAAACACAGGCATGTTGGGCTTGTGGTGCTCTTTCCTCCWTGGGCTTTTTACGATTCCAGGACTCTACCAATAGGCTCTGCTGTGTTTTGTGCTCAGGAAGTTAGTCAGTTGGTATAAAGCTAATGTGGATGAATCTGGGCCTCTGTGTGGTGAGGCAACACCTCGAGTTCTGTGTCCAGTTCTGTGTCCCTCACTTCAAGAAAGACATTGAGATGCTGGAGTGAGTCCAGAGAAAGGCAGCAGAGCTGGAAAAGAGTCTAGAGAGTAGGTCATATAGGAGTGGCAGAGGGAGATGGGGTTGTTGTTAAACTTGGAGAAAAGAAAGCGCAGGAGTGACCTTATCACTCACTACAGCTGCCTGAAAGGAGGGTGTAGCCAGTGGGATTCAGTGTGTTCTCCCAGGCAGCCAGTGACAGGGTGAAAGGACAGAGCCTCAAGCTGTGCCAGGGAAGCTTCAGATTGAGCATAAAAAAGAGTTTTTTTCATGGGAAGAGTTGTCAAATGTTGGAGCAGACTACCCAGGGAGGTGGTGAAGTCACCATCCTTGGAAGTGTTCAAGAAAAACTGGATGTGGCATTCCGTGCCATGCTCTAGTTGACAAAGGGATGATTGGTCAAAGGTTGGGCTCATTGATTTTTGGGKTCTTTTCCAACCCAAACGTTTCTGTGACTCTCTGATTCTGTGTATTCTCCTGCTTCCACTCTAGTGAAGTGTGGAAGAATGTGTGGTGGGTTGATGAGCATTTATCATCCATGTGGATTCTTATTCTACCCCTAAGGTAGACAACAGATGTCTTGGCATAGTTTACCTTAATTCAGTTAGGAAGAAGAGTACCCCTTGGGCAATTAGTACACAGAAGATACTTCRGGATGTTTTCATCCCATTGTAGATGAGTATTTATATTATGTTTAAAAAGTGTTCCAAATTCTATGGATGAAGATCCTGTTAAGATGAGGCAAATTTGTGTATTTGGAAGTCAAGTGCTCTGTAATTTGTATCTTACGAGCGGGAAAAAAAATCCCAGCCTTTAAAACACCAGTCCTACTGTCAGAAAATGTCTCAATACCTAAAAATCCTATCTGATGTCCTTTTGCTGACCCTCTGAAATGAGATTTTTAATGCATCCTTTGTAACATAAGTTTGAATTAAAGCCTTTCTGATCAGTTGGTTGTGAATGTACTGTAGCCTTAACCAAAAGATGAGACTGAATACTTGCTGACCTTGGCTTTTATAGATTTTGAAAAAAAAATCACCTCTGAAACCTTTTCTCAGGAGACTTGTTGCTCTCTTGTATAAGAATTGGAAGTTCTTACAGGCGAGCAACCACTGCAAAAGCAGTAGCTGCAGAGACCTATAACATGGACCCTATGGATGGACTAAATTCATTAGCAATTAAGAAGTTTAACTTCCAAATGTACTTGATTTAATTGCCCTGTGGTTGCTCTTCGGGGAGGGAGAAGTCTTGCTTCTTCCTGGCAGTTTTTATTTCAGAAATCTGTCCTGTAGAGGGCACCAAAGAACAAAAATTGGTACAGCCTTAAATCTAATGAGTTAGTGTATTGAAAGGATGGGGAAGGTGAGCAGCTAGTGCGGGGGCAGGAAGGGGAGGGCTAAGATAAAGGAAAAACATAGTAAAAGTGTTACTAATGGCACACCTCGACCAATACATCTGCATTATAATCTATATTTTGCTGATCATGTTTGCTTGTTGGTATGTTCGAATTAAGTCTGCTAAAAGTGGTGGAAACTTCCATTGAGATATTTTCTGCATTGCTTTAGTGTTTTCCAGAGACTGTGCTACAAGATCTTATTTTCAGTTATATTGAATATCAAGTCCAGCTTTTCCTAAGGAGTATTTTCCAGGACCGCAAAGATTCTTAGATTGGTGACAGAAGTTCTGGTTAATTCTGTCAGGATGTAATAAGAAGCTTGTAGGTGAAAGTGTCAGGAATTGAAAAAGAACAGTAAAGCTGGAAAAAATAAGTGTTGAGGGCTGACTGCAGCAAGGCTAGAGCAGGAACACAYAGGGATAGGAAAAAGAACCTGCTCAGAAGAGCATGGTCCCATTTGATGCCATAGTTACTTTGCATTTCCTGCTTGTACAGSAGAAGACCCTACGTCAAGACTCTTGGCATTTCACAGAGCCATAGAATTGTTAAGGTTGGTTTCGTAAAGATTATGAAGACCAACTGTTAATCCAGCGCTGCCACATTCACCACTAAACCATGTTCCCAAGTGCCACATCCACRYRTTTCTAGAACACTTAAAAGGGTGGTGATTCCARCACTTTCCTGAGCAACTTGTTCCAGTGCTTGGCRGCCCTTTCAKTGAAAGAAAATGTGTCATTTTTCTCATGAAYGTTTWCTCAGTTATCTGGAAAAGTRTCCTCTTTCATTSTTTGCTGATAAAGCAAGAAATTCAAGAAATGAAAACATGTTCTTGCTTTTTGCGAGCAATTCTTTTAAATCTTTAGCATCCTGAAGATGATCCATCAGTAACATACTATGTAGTGGAATTTTTATATTTTTCCCCTTTTTTTAGGAAACTCACAAAACTTAGGAAATTGTGATTGGTCATGRAACTGGATGTGCTAAAAATGTTGCAGAGTTGAGTACTAAGTAGTAATGAAATGCCAGAATTAAATGAACTGTGAAACATTTACGTGGTCTGTTCATGCCAAATTACAGGTTTATAATACAGTCTTTATCTCTCTGGTAACACAGTGATTTTGTGCCAGATCTGGCCTTGTCTGGCTGTTGCTCTGAGCTGAGTAAGGAATAAATTAGGTGGAAGCAGTGAGTTCAAAGGCTCCTGTTTTGAGCCCCCTAGATGTTGAAAAGTCCRTAAGACTGCATGACAGAAAGTGTGTGTTTTAGGATACAGGCAAGGAAACAGTGGTCTCASTTGAAGAGACTAAGGAAATGGAATTATTTCTTCTGAGATACTTCCTGTAAGAAGGAAGTGTGTTCATTGGTTGAACTGATTTTTTTTTGCAGCCACTAATTGTGCATTAGTTTTCTGAGTGGAGAAGGAAGTTGATAACTAGATTTGCAGAAATGTTTGATCTTCCTGAATTCAGCTGAAGCTGGTGGATGCTCTGCTTGCGTTGTGTTAGTGAGTGAAAAAAWCTGTTTCAGACATCATACCAGCATGGTAAGTTAATGCTTGAATAACTGAAGTAACTCCTGATGAAGTCTTGTGTCTGGGGACATCACTGTGCTTAGTGACTTCAATGGCTATGTGCTTCCTTTCTAAAACCATACTGGTATTTCCACGTGTGGTTTAGGGAAATGTTTGACACTTCAGTTCRTGTTGCTTTGTTCAGGACAAAGGCAGTTATGTAGAGTGTTGGCTGTACTTGGCTCAGCATGACTGCYGTGTGCAGTAAYGCACTAGCAGAGAGCAGCAGGAGAYTGRAAGTGATTATTGTCCAGAATAGGWATCTGAGGTAATACTAATTCTCATATTTAGGAGACTAGGTTAGGTAGAAAGTGAGTCGTAGTTCATTCTAACATAATCAGCAGTAAATTTACACGGCGCTGAACAGCATATGAAAAAGTTTAAAATACATTCTTTTTGCTGTTTTGTATTTTGGTACTTTTGGAATAGTTTTAAGTATTGTCTGATTAATTTTTAGAAACAAATTCTAGGAAAACTCTTTTAAAGTCATGGTGATTTAGCCCTCACCTGAACAACTCAGTATATCTCATCTTCATTAGTATTTTCCTCTGCTACTCTCTAAACCACAGCCAGTTGCTCCATTTTAAGAGGGAGAGTAGTGATCCTTACTTTCTATAACTTTTGCATTTTAACTTTCTGACTGAGCTTTCTTCTGCCTGTCAGTAACTCGTGCCTGTTTGTTCAGTTCTCCCACAAGATTAGGTCTTGCAGGATCTTATCTGGTCTGCCTCTTCTGAGTAATGTACAGGATCCCTGTTTTTTCATGTCTCAAAATCCACCTTTATGGGATATTTCCTGTGGTCTTGCCTAAGCCCTTAAGTGGTACTGCTCTGACTGATGTTGCTAAAGCTGCTCTCTTGATGCTAAGTTGATTTAAAGGTATATATGTCCACAAAAGGGAATAAACGGTGTCCTCCTGTGCATTTTTATCAGTTTAACTGTGCCATAGCAGGAGTCTGAATTTGTTCATGATGAGAAAGCACTAGATGCCACTTTGAATTTAGCAAGTTTTTCCGTGCTGTCTCTGACAATATCCTTGTATCCAAGTAAGGTTGTAATGGGATGGATGGATGGATGGATGGATGGATGGATGGATGGATGGATGGATGGATGGATGGATGGATGGATGGATGGAYGGAYGGAYGGATGGAYGGAAAACTAGCTGGGGGRRAAAAAAAAGCTGTTTGTATGGTCAGGTTCAGACAGTAGGGGTCATGATCAGGAGTCCTGCAGTGTGCCCTGACAGCAAAGGAAAGTGACAGCGTCTTGGGTTGTATGAACAGGACAACTGCTGGTAGATGGAGGGAAGTGATTGTCATCCTTTGCTTCCCGTTTGTTAGACCATATCTAGAATACTCTGTTGAATTTTGATATCCTCAATACTGGAATGTCATTGAAAGACTGAAGTGAGTTTAGGGAAGCCTGCTGAAATTATTTGGGCTGAAGCACTTGTCTTGTGAGGGSTGGGGAAACTGGGCTTGTTCAGCTTGGAGAAGAATTGGCTTTTGGAGGACTTAAGAGCAGCCCCCCAGGACTGTAAAAAGTTTGTCTAGAAAATGTGGCCAAGTTCTGTACTGMAGTCAAATGGGAGGACAAGAGAAAATGATCAAAAAATAGCACAGGGATTTCTGACTTGAGGAAAAGRAAAATTTTGATACAGTCAGGGAGCCAGTTGTCCAGAGAGGTTGTACAGTCTCCATCATTAGAAGTTTTCAGGACCCAGCTAGAGAATGAGGAGGGAAACAATCTGGTAGCTGACACAACTGTGAGCAAGCTGTTGGACTGTAGACCTCTTGAGGTCCTGTCTGACTTAAGTTATTGTATGATTCAGTGACTCCAGGCACCTCTGGTTTTGGATGAGGTAATGAAGAAGTCTGTTAAGAATACAGTGTCCTTTGCAGTTGGTAGATGACTTGACTCAAGTGAGAGAAGGTGTAGAAGAGAGGAAACCGCAGTAGGAAGACTATGTATTTTGGGGAACTGACTTATTTTCTCTGAGAGTGGCAGCTTTTGGGTTAAAAACATACAAGAAGTAGGTGCCTTTCATAGCTCAGACTAAAGACAGCTGTGATTGCAGATCTGGTTAATGCAGAATAGTAATCTGTGCAGAACAGGTTCAAAATTTTATCATTTGTGTATTTTTTCTCTCCTCCCAGCTAGAATGTCTTTGATGCCCTGACTTCTTTCTTTAAACTGTGTTTCAAGGAACAGGACCTGCTACAGGCTCCTGCAAGTCATGAAGTTTTTGAGAATGTTTGGCCTCTATTTCCTTCTTGGGTGAATTCTGGAGCAGGTAACACTGTGGGTGGAAGGGTTACCATGCTTACAGTATTGTAAAGCAGACTATAGGGCTTTTTTATTGCAGCTGGGAAGGTAGGGCCAGGGAGGCACAGTCTGAGAAYTGTAGTCAGCTGTGTTTTGCTGATAGTGCATTCATATTCATTCYCATGATGAAGTTGTGGAGTTTGTGTGTAGCTGTAGTATGCACWTTCTCTGTGCTTTCCTCAGTATTCTTGTGCAAGTCGAAGGCAGATAATTAYAAAGCCTATGTTGTATATCCATACTTATGTAACACAACATGGAGATGTGATGTCATCACACCCATCATCAGGATGTACTGATCACAGTAGACCAAAATTTGTATAGAGTTTTAAAGAGTATTGTACATTGCCTTTTCCAACTCTGTTAGCCAGTAAATGCCAGTTAAATGTCTSGTTTGGAATATGGTGGTGCTGATATGAAAACAAAATATTTCTGATTTAAGGCACTTTCTTTTGGGGTTTGTGTATAGTAAGGGAATGCCTGTGTATTTAAGAGAAGGCTGAAGTGTTTGACTGKCTGAAATTATTTGAGTAGAAGCTGGTTTATATTTGTAGTGATATTGTAAAAATGTATTTTAGAACCTCAGCTGTATCTAGTCTGCTAGATTTTTGTTTGGCTTGGTGTTTTTAAGGAAAAAATGTTTTGGGTTCTTTTCTAATAGCTCATCAGGCTACAAATGTTTGTATAAATTGAAGATATGCTGGGCTAAATTTTTATAGTAGCAGAGAATTTATGTGCTCAAATCTCMTTGTGATTCTTAGAAAACTCTTTTACATGTCGTTGTGTTCAGAGCARCTCTGGCTACCTGCAAGTGCGTGCAGGCAAGTAAAAACACAAGACTAGTTAAAGTGAAAGGCGTAAAGTGCTTGTTCTGTATTTCTGTTTTAAGTATGGTGGGAAAGCAGGAAACTTCCACAGAAAGCTTTACTTCATGTGGCATTTAGGAAATAATTTGGTTAAGTGTTTGACTTACTGCTTGGCAAAGTCGAGTTATTGTAGCTGTGTGAATTCAATTCTGAGTATAATTAGATCTTCTTGGTAGCCTTCTAAAAGTGGTATCTTAATGAAGACTATCAGATGCTAAATGTCTTGCAGGTGACAGTTAAGATTCTTGTAAGGTAGAAACCATCAATGTTTCCTTAATGACCAGCGCTTGTTTTTATATAAAGTGAGATTTCTGGAAAGCATGTGGTTGCAGAATTGTATCATTTAGCTATCCCTTTTYCATAATGGAAAAACATGTACAGTGCTTTTTGTTATAGACAAAATAGTTTTAGAATAATTCTCTTCCTGAATTTGTGGATTGTTTGAAACAGTGGAAATAAAGTGAGTTGTTTCAGTTATATATAAGTTTAGTTATATATAAGTTATATATAAGTTTAGTTATATATAAGTTATATATAAGTTTGTGCTATAAGGAATTTTTTTCACTGTCTAGGTATTTTGTAGCCTTCAAGCCAAAGGCTTTATGCAGCCTGAGCAGATTAAGTGCAGTTGTCGACTGATTCGTAAGGTGGTGAATGCAATRGTAGGGAAAGGGAAAGGATGCACTCCTAGGGGAAACAGTGTGATGAGATTTAAAACAAATTGAACTGTTATCATTTTGCAGCAAGGAAAATTACCTCGAGCTCTGGATATTTTGATTGTGGTATGCACACAGCACAGATGGTGGTGTACATTTCCACAAAACAAATTTTTGGTAGTTGTAGCCACACTGACTTTTTCCCARAAGAGCAGTGAGAGTTGTGAACAGTCCCAAACTCAGATTTGCCCTGTAGGCAACTATTGTAATGTCATGTATAAAAACCCTAATGCACTTTCACATTATGTACTGCTGTTAACTTATAGGCATTCATTTATACCAGTGTRATAGATACAAGACTCTCAATTCTGTCAGAGCTCATGATTTTTAAAATTGAGTTAGTGTTCATTAATGAAAAAGTGAGGAGTGAAAAGACTTACTTTGAATTAAATGAAAGACAGGCATGTTCATATTCTAACATTATTTTGTATGTATGTTGCTGTGCTGTGCATGGTGAAGGCAAAAGGTTATTAGGCACTGAACTCGGGTGCAACAGCAGTTTGTCATCTAACCCCCTTACTTTCCCTAGGAAAATTCAAACTCTTTAAGATTTAGGCCCAGATCCATCTGGCTTGCTTCCAGTTTACCAAACTTTCCCTTTCTGAAAGTATCTAAAGTGCATGTGTGAATTTCCTCTTTAGTCAGTGGTGGGATAATGATCCTTTCAAGTCCTGACTTCATTTGGCTTAAAGATAAAACCCTTGCTAGAAGTCCCTTGTCTTCTCCTTTGCACTGACAGTACACATACAGGGATCTCAAAATTCCTGTCACACACCAGGTGAAGCAGGGGGACAAATTTCCCAATAGGAAAACAGCAATGTGACCATATACCCACTGCTAACACAGTTTAATATGTTGGTTTTGTTTGTTTGTTTGTTTGTTTGTTTTAATAAAGGTCCATGAAGGATTCTTGGAAAATAAGATTGTTCCCATGAACATAAGTGCCACTAGCAGTTCCTCTGAGAAGAGAAGTACTGATTTACGAATATACATGCTGTGCTTCCTGCCGTTCCTGGTCCTCCTGGTCTTCATTCGTGATCTTAAGAGCCTGTCCTTGCTTTCTTTGCTTGCCAATCTGTCCATGGCTATCAGCCTGGTGATTATTTACCAATATATTGTTAGAGTAAGTATAAAAAAGTTTACAATCTGTTTTTTTCAGTGTGTCAAGTTACGTTTGTGGCATGTGGCAGTTGGTTTCTGATAGATATATACTGGCTGACAAGGCAGCATTATCTTGTATTTAATTGAGGCATCTTAATTTAAAGTAATAAAAATACATATTTTAATGAGTGGGAAGTGGAGTATGGGGAGCAAGGCAATGAGAGATACTGGCTGGACAAGGAGGCCRGAGAAGTTATGAAAAAAATTTGGGTAAGATAGTAATTAATTATTCTGCAGGACTTTGGCTTATATTAAAGAGATTTTCTTTTGGTGTCCCTCATGGTTATGAAGAATATCTGTGCAGTATGWAAGCAGAAATAGAAAGTGAAATACAATGAGAAGTTTGCAGAAGATAAGTCTTGACATATGCGGTTTCCCTTCTGTTTTAATTGATGTGCTCTCATACACACCAATGTGCTACTTTAAATTTCTAGTGACAGTAGTAAGAACCTAGAATAAATCTGCAGGTTGCTGTGTGAGAAGATGGCTATAAATGTGTATAAAGGACTAAGTTTGGGAGGAAACCCAAGGATTGCAAATAGCAATGTATACACCACTGTCARCATGTACTGTGTTTTCTTTCCTGTTGCATAATGCATCAATCAGAATTGTAGGAAGAGTGAATGCACTGTTTTGCTTTGTTTTCTTCAGGATATAGCAGATCCTCGAAAACTGCCTCCTGTGGTTGGCTGGAAGAAATACCCACTGTTTTTTGGGACTGCAGTATTTGCTTTTGAAGGAATTGGTGTGGTAAGTCYTTTTTTTCTGACTCTTCAAAATCACTGGTTCTATGCTGAGGATACATGCAGTTTTACTCCTGTTTTGTTGGTTTTGTTGAAGCACTAATCTCCTGTGTTTGTATGAAAAGGATTAATTTGTCTGGTCAAATAAGGACAAAGGTGTGGACACAACATCCCCATCATTTGGAAGCTTAGCCCATCCCAAATTGCAAGAATGCCTTTAGTCCCAAATAGTTAACCACTTTTGTTCCACATGATCTATTTTAAAAAATAGCTGGAGTGGCTCCTGGGAATGGTAGGTCATAAACTGTTGGGAAATTACTATAAAGGC